ATCGTCGACTTGATGGCCAATCTGACAGAGTTTAATTTCCTTGCTTTGAAGTTCCTTTCCTCTACCGGTAGCGTTGGCGGCTCAAATTACGCATTCCCTACCTATATTCTGAATCGATCTCCGATCGAGTCTTGATCCATTAGGTGATTGTCCTTATCCATTTCTGTTGTTGCCTGCAATGCCTGGAAGCATTAGCGGCTATTATTTGGTGGTGTTCCAACTTCTTCCTCCCTCCCTCCCTCCCTCCCTCTGTGCTCCCTTTCCTCCCCTCCGTCCTATTATTTGGTTGCGTTACCTTGTTGGGTGTTGTCCCAACTTCTTCCTCCCTCCTTCCCTCCCTCTCCTCCCATCCCTCCGATTACTTGGTGGCGTTACTTCGTTGGATTTTGTCCCAACTTCTTCCTCCCTCCCTCCCTCCCTCTGCTCCCTCTCCTTTTGTCCCTCCCTCCCTCCCTCCCTCCTCTTCCGCCTTTCCTCACTTTCTTCCTTCCTTCCTTCCAAAATCCATACCATAAGAAAGAGCAAATATCAGTATAGATTCTGAGAAGAGCCATATGAGGCGAAAGTCTCACGTATGGTTCCCGTCTGTTGACGTAATGATGAATCCGTGCACATGTTGAAGTCTTGGTGACTTTATGCTAAAAGTTTTCATGTTGCAACTCCACGTTTGGCGTTCATGTACCCTCTCGCAGCGTTTCTTTCTGCGGTCCACTTTATTTGTAACGAAATGATTTTCAAAAACTATGCATGCTTACATCAGGGCCTGCTCCTTTGAAAAAGGCATCACTTCCTGACCTGCCTGCAGTCTTCACCCGCATTGAACATCCGGTCATTAGAACCGTATTTGGGGCAACTCTCTGTCTGGATGCAGGCTAGGGGGGTGCTCTTATGGCCTCGACTAGCAAGGAGACTGGTCTTTCAAAAAAAAAAAAAAAAAAAAAAAAAAAAAAAGGGACAGCACTTGAAGTCGGACAGGTCCCTTTTCTAATGAGGGTGGCATCTACTATGATCTTCACCCTAATAGAACTCCTATTAATTATAATTGAAAAAAAAAAAAAAAAAAAAAAAAAAACAGCAGTAATGACCGGGCGGGTTCTATTCAGCTGAAGAAGGTAGTATACTAGTATGCCTTTTTTTTTTTCTTTTTTTTTTTTAACAAAAGGCTCCATCGACTTGCGAAAACAAGGGATGCAGGACCCGTCTCATTTTCCAGTAGTAGACATTCTTCCAAGCTCGCAGGAACACTTGTCATAACCAAGCTTCCGGGTTGCATTGTTGAGGAATTCCCCACGTCACCCTTTTTTAACCTTTTTCTGAATGATGCATGTTTTTGTTTTCAAGAAAAAAAAAAAAAAAAAAAAAAGACGACGACGACGATGACAAAGACGAAGAAGAAAGTTCCAGAAACAAATGTTTAGCTTAGGAAAAAAAGAAAAAAGAAAAAAAGACGGCAACGACGACGAGGAGTCGAGGACCAAGTAATTGTGTACTTATGAAGCTTCCATGAACTGTTGCAATTCACACCTAAGGTTTTTTTTTGTTTTTTTTTTTTTTTAAACAACACCCCCCCGTCAGTGTTAGTGGTGCTGATAACAGCTATAAGATGAAACAAATGTTGTAGTCAGTCCTCAGCTTCGGAAGTATGCAATTACTAGGTCCTCCAAAATTTCACCGGCAACGAACTAAGAATCGGGGAAGTATCCTTCTTATCATCTCATTAAGTAGGTTATCCCACACACGAAGTTTAACCAGGGAAAAAAAAAGAAACATCCTCTAAGCCCAGGAAGTAGGAGGATGTATCAGGAAGTAAAAAAAAAAAGAGAGAGAAAAGAAAAGAAAGAAATGGGAGCACTGGCGAGGTGCGCCAACGGAGCCAAATATGTGCTTGACGCCGACATTGCGAAATGCTTTGATTGAATCAACACCTCGTGTCCCTTGCTAGACATTTATGCTTACACACCTCAGTTTGAATCCAGATGGACCAAGTGTCTGGTCGGTCAGTCCCCGGCTTTTGACTTTGAGCAATCACGCTTCCCTGCAACCTTTCCCCCTGATCTGTATTCTCTAAACCCACTTACACTTCCACCCAGCTTTCGACGTGGGGCCTAAATGCGCACCGGGCCAATAAAAAAAAAAACGGCCCGACGCGGGCATGCTTACGGCGGGTGCCGCTAGCCATTTGGGTCTGGTTACCCGAACCCCCGAAAGTTGCGCTCGTATACAGAACTCATAATTTGTTTTCAACGCACAGTGGGGTTCTGGTGGGTTTAATGGCCACCTTTAAACCACCGGTGCCTACCCCCTACCCCGCATTTCTAGGCCCCCCCTCTGACTCGAATGAATATAGCCCAGAGCGGCAGGCCGATTCAGTCGCCGCGTTATGGGCCTAAGAACGTGGAGGTACATTCTCCATTCAACCTTGAGCTCTGAAACAAGGGCTAATTGAACTTGTTGTTGGGAGGAAAGAGACCAGCTTATTCCAATTAGCCCTTTGCTTCCAATTCAGCCTTGGCTACTTGGAGACTTGCTGGTTATGCCGCGTGGCTGTGCACCGCGGGCAAGTCGTCTTTTGCCCGGGGGTCACCTGCACGGTGGCACCCTGTGCAGGCAAAAGTCCGTCCCTTTGGAGGTTTCTGAACGTCGCGTGGATGGGGGATAGTCCGCAGCATCTTTCTGAAGTTGTGAGTGTGTGAGCCTTTTTTTTTTGTCCGACTGTTGGCTGCTGTCGAGGGGGGCAAGGGTGGTAAAAACTGTCTCTTGAAGGGCTAAATGGGGTTTAGAGGGGGTTGCCTTAGTCTGGTTCTGTTGTTTTCATTTTTTCATCTTCGATACCATGAGGAATTCTGAGGTAACTCTCAGCAAAAAGTTGTTTGTATTGCAATCCTACACCATATTTCTTTGCTAAAGTTTTTTTTTTTTTTTTCCCCTTTCTTCGGGCGCTCGGGCAGCCCGGAATCCTGCTCAGGTTTCATGCCCGGCCGGGTGCCTGGGCGTGTATCCGGGCACAAGTGGGTTGCCCATCCTAGGTTGTTTTTCAATAGTCTACGTATTGCAGACTGCAGCCAGTATCTTCCCACTTCCAGAGCTCCATTCATTTCAAAAACTGATCGTAAAACGCCATGAGCAGCTGGGTGTTGAGGTCTGAAATTGAAGTCAACTTTTTAATTTGTTTGGCTTTATATATATATATATATTGTCATATATATATCGTAAAATTAAGCTGCCCTGTAAACCGTAGGCAGAGAGGGAGAAGAGGACAACAAACGAGGGGCTGTGACAAACTGTTTCGTCGGAGTTTACAGCCCCTCATTTGTTGTCCTCTTCTC